TATATATAATAGTGTTATCAGCTATAGTTACCATGTAAACAACCATTTCATTTTGTTCATCATTTTGTAGGTCAGAAAGTTGGAAATGGACTATCCAGGTAGTTTGCCTACAGTTCAGCTGGTGTCACTTGGGGTGACGGGCTGGCTGATCCTACAAGATGGCCCCTCACTATTGCTTGGCCTTGTTCTCGCTCGCCAGGTCTTATCTTATAGGCCTCAACATGTGGCTTGGATTTTGCCTAGGATGGTGGTATTAGGGTAGTTATAATAGCAGTTAGTTACTAAGAGAGCAGGGCAGTAGCTACCGGGCCTCTTAAAAGCTAGGCCTGACGTTGGCATAGCTATCACAGTACCATTTACATCTAACTCTTATTGATCAAGACATTCACAGACCAGCAGAAATTCAAAGGAGGGGAAATAGACTCCAACTCTCAATGGGAGGAATAGGAAAGAATTTGCAGCCATCTTTAATCTGCCCTAAGTAGAAGATCCATTAGGCATATATACCTGATAAACACAAAGATTTCCACCTCCCCTCCCACACATGGAAATATCAGTACCGGGCTGAAGCCTCAGTAGTTTGCAAATGTTTTGGTTGCCTTAGATAAAGGTGAAGTGGTTATTACATATACTGTATGTGACTTTATTTAATGGTCATGATAATCAGAATTCTTTAAAGTTTTATCCCTTCTTTGATTTGTGCATGTGTATTTTAGGACCAACATTTTGAGCTGCAGGAAGTGTGACCTATGCTTTTATGACACATACCCGAGATCTTAGGAGCATTAAAAAATAGTTTATTAATGCCCAGGGTATCATTCTAGCTTACCTAATACCTTTGATTTACTAAAGTCACAGTTATGTTGGCTTCTTTTATGGACATAACTTTAGCCACATGGTAAAGCAAAGCTTTGTACAGGTGTTTTCACATGTCTGGTCCACTGAAATCTAAGAGACTCAACCCTGGGGTCACAGAGAGAAGCAGCGAAAGACATAATAAAAACCACATGTTAACCATTAATGTTCATTTACCAAATCCTACTTAAACTCTTGCACTCTCAAAGCTAATTTCATCCAATTGCCTTTTAATTATAGTCTCTTGCTCAGAGTTGCAAATATAATGGCTTTTTAATATATCTTGCACTGTTCTGTGTCCAATGTAGGATGTAATCATGCAATTTATTCAGAGCTAGTGCATGAGGTAATTAAAACATAAGCACACACGGATTTCTGCACACGCATATTCCACTGAAAAGAATCTGTCAAATTGCTTTTGTATAAAATTATTTTTTAGATAGAATATGATAGAAATCCCGTGTCTGCTAATTTATGTTGTAGCCAAGGTGAAATAAATCAAATATGACTGGGAGATCTGTATCCATATCAGAGAATGAGGTAAAAGAAACCATTTTAAAGTAGGAATGTCTCAACACACTGTTAATTAATCATAGTCTTGGTAGATAGAATTCTCAATGCAGGTTAGTGCTTCATTATCCAAGATGTTAGGACATGAACAGACCCTCAGTCTCTTGCCCCTTTTGAAGAAAGACAGGGAAAAAAATGAGACTTAAGATAATTATCACTATTAATAAAAATGATCAAGTAATATAACAATTTTTAGTGGTAATTGCTTTTGGAGTTAAGAGTTGATATATGCATGGGCAACAAATATATATTTCTTTCAATGAGCAAATGAACACTTTAGTGAAGTTGTTCACCCTATCTCACAGTAACCAGGAGATTTTATATAAAGAAAATTAGCTGTTTTTAAATTATATATAATTTTAAGAACTTCATAACTAGTTTTTTAAAAAGCATATTAAGCTATATTTTTACATTTATTCATTCTATAATTTATTAAGTGCCAACTAACTATGACCTATGTGTTGGAGATACCAAGAAAGTGATGGGCTTTAAGATTTTCATTTTTCTGTGGAAAGCCATTTCTCTGGTGTTATCTTCTGACTATTAATGTTTGGCCATAAAAAAGAAAAAAAATGATATGGGTCATGAATCCAAATACCACATGAAAACAGAAAAATATTTGTTCATTTATCAGGATTTGGGGTTTGCAACATGCTGGTACCTGGAGCCGTGAAAATCTAGATGGACTGATTTCCTTTTTCAGTTTTCTCTGGATATGTACTCACACATCTTGTGTTCATTCTTAGAATACAAATGTAGAAAAGTGTATTATTTCCTTTCCAAAACATTATTAAGATTTTAGACAACATATCTGCAATAGCTAATTTCCTTTTCTGTTCCTTTTTCAATTTTTCATCCACATGCCTTCTTCCTTTTACATTCGTAGCAGTTTTAGGGGTGTGCTTTGGGAAACAAAACAGCTAGAAGGCTAGCCAAGGAGCATCCTATTCCCAAATCAGAATTTAACTAAGCCTTGGAATCCAGATACACACTTTCTCAAATTGGTATTTCTTGTACAATTAAGCTTTAGGGTTGTAAATACTGAGCTTTGGGCCCTTCAGCTCCAGAAAGAATAATCTACAGAAGTAGACCAGCCTCTACAAAGGGTAAGTCGATCTTGATCCCTCTTGATGCCCTGAGTCCCAGGTCTCAAGAGCTTGCTGCCTAAACCCCGCCATTGACTTGAGTTTTGACTGCTCCCTATTTAATCCTGCCTTTTTGCTTAGCCTATAGAGATTCTATGTCCTAATTCAACTCCTGAGGTAGAAATCCAGAGGACCAAATCAAACACATTAATGTTAAAGCAAAAACCAGATAAACATATGCTCCATCACCTTGATCAATACCAAATTCCCATCCTAAATTCTATACTCAGGTGTTTGACTTAGAGGAAATTCCAAATTTATGAATGGATTACATATCCAATGTTCATTTTGACCTAGAAACTCAGGACACACATTCCTACAGAAATGATGGTATAAATGTCATACCAAATATATTATAAATAAAAAACTAAGTTTCTATTAATATTCCATACTAACAGTTGCTCAATTAGGTGAAAATATAAGCCCTTCCATTTTTTAAATGCTTTGAAGTCATGTGATTGTACATTTTGGCATTTCTCAAATCAAAATTAATGTTAAAGTTTATCTGCTTATATACTGTTTTGTTATTTTTTTTTTTTTCTGAAAGCTGTTAAATTTATGGTACATACTATCATTACTTCCAATGGGGTCTTAAATCTTAACATCAAATATGGTTTGTTAACTACTGAGTATTTATAATATTAATGTGGGGGGGGGT